AAATAGGTTAATAAAGGAGCGCCATGGTTTTTGATGAAAATATATTCGATGGTTTTCTATCATTAGTCTTTTTTCAATACTTTTTTTTATATCTATTTTCTAACATGACATTACATAATCTGATTGTGTGCTCATCTTTTTTAATTGTTTTATTGTAACATGCAAAGAAAACCATATTTATGGTAAGGACTTTATACAGAACGGGCGGGGAACGAATAATATTTTGGTGGTTTTGCCAGATGCCTTCTTTGTTGCTGGAGATTATGGTATATTCCAGTGAAAGTAATACTTCTTTATCTTTAACTACCATTGATTATTATTTGACTATGTTTATAGTATATGTAATATACTAATTGGTTCCAATTTTATGTATACAGTTAAACTCGAAGAAAAGAAACTCAAACGCATTTCTAAGAATCCTCCAACACGAACAACATGGTCGCATGATCAATATGATGTGCATTAGATGTTAGGACATATAAAGAGTGTAGCTACAACATCGCATTCTATTAATGCTATCGTTGATTGAGCAAAGAAATGCACTAAGACCGCAAATTGCCATCGTGGATTCGGGAGTTTCTTGTGCTCCATCGAGCCAACTACTAGTGAATTATCTACAAGAATCCTACGTGGATAAAACTAGTTGTGATAAAGGTTAAAATATATGTTGATAATACACATTGTATACATGGAATACTTGCTTCCTATAATTGTGTAAACAAATTTAATGTGCTGTGAAAATAACCTCTCGTCCACTACCCCATCATTTCCTGTATGGTCGTGAAACATACATATACCATCTATTGAACTGATATATATAGCAGAAATATATCAACTTATATGCACATAGACAAAACCTGACATATATAACACACTTACCCCAGTAGTCTTTGTTTTAAAGTTAAAATTGGGGTAAAACCAAAGAAACTGTTGTTTCTCATGTTGCTCATGTTTTGAACTAGTGTCTTGTCTGGCATCCCTTAATGGTTTATGTCGTGCTAATGTGGGTTATAAAGAATTTGATCCTCAAGATCGCCTTATCTCGAATGAGTGAATTTACTATGAAGTTCTTGCAGATGCAGCTCACCGATATCATAAAATTGAATATGAGAAGCAAATAGGTTAAGAAAGGAGCTCCATGGTTTTTGATGAAAATATATTTGATGAAATGAAAATATATTCGATGAAAATATATTCGATGGTTTTCTATCATTAGTCTTTTTTCATTACTTTTTTTTATGTCTATTTTCTAACATGACATTACATAATCTGATTGTTTGCGCATCTTTTGTAATTGTATTATTGTAACATGCAAAGAAAACCACATTTATGGTAAGGAATTTATACAGAACGGGCGGGGAACCACTAATATTTTGGTGGTTTTGCCAGATGCCTTCTTTGTTGCTGGAGATTATGGTATATTCCAGTGAAAGTAATACTTCTTTATCTTTAACTACCATTGATTATTATTTGACTATGTTTATAGTATATGTAATATACTAATTGGTTCCAATTTTATGTATACAGTTAAACTCGAAGAAAAGAAACTCAAACGCATTTCTAAGAATCCTCCAACACGAACAACATGGTCGCATGATCAATATGATGTGCATTAGATGTTACGACATATAAAGAGTGTAGCTACAACATCACATTCTTTTAATGCTATCGTTGATTGAGCAAAGAAATGCACTAAGACCGCAAATTGCCATCGTGGATTCGGGAGTTTCTTGTGCTCCATCGAGCCAACTACTAGTGAATTATCTACAAGAATCCTACGTGGATAAAACTAGTTGTGATAAAGGTTAAAATATATGTTGATAATACACATTGTATACATGGAATACTTGCTTCCTATAATTGTGTAAACACATTTTATGTGCTTTGAAAATAACCTCTCGTCCACTACCCCATCATTTCCTGTATGGTCGTGAAACATACATATACCATCTATTGAACTGATATATATAGCAGAAATATATCAACTTATATGCACATAGACAAAACCTGACATATATAACACACTTACCCCAGTAGTCTTTGTTTTAAACTTAAAATTGGGGTAAAACCAAAGAAACTGTTGTTTCTCATGTTGCTCATGTTTTGAACTAGTGTCTTGTCTGGCATCCCTTGATGGTTTATGTCGTGCTAATGTGGGTTATGAAGAATTTGATCCTCAAGATCGCCTTATCTCGAATGAGTGAATTTACTATGAAGTTCTTGCAGATGCAGCTCACCGATATCATAAAATTGAATATGAGAAGCAAATAGGTTAAGAAAGGAGCTCCATGGTTTTTGATGAAAATATATTTGATGAAATGAAAATATATTCGATGAAAATATATTCGATGGTTTTCTATCATTAGTCTTTTTTCATTACTTTTTTTTTATATCTATTTTCTAACATGACATTACATAATCTGATTGTGTGCTCATCTTTTTTAATTGTATTATTGTAACATTCAAAGAAAACCACATTTATGGTAAGGACTTTATACAGAACGGGCGGGGAACCACTAATATTTTGGTGGTTTTGACAGATGCCTTAATTGTTGCTGAAGATTATGGTATATTCCAGTGAAAGTAATACTTCTTTATCTTTAACTACCATTGCTTATTATTTGACTATGTTTATAGTATATGTAAAATACTAATTGATTCCAATTTTATGTATACAGTTAAACTCGAAGAAAAGAAACTCAAACGCATTTCTAAGAATCCTCCAACACGAACAACATGGTCGCATGATCAATATGATGTGCATTAGATGTTAGGACATATAAAGAGTGTAGCTAAAACATCGCATTCTTTTAATGCTATCGTTGATTGAGCAAAGAAATACACTAAGACCGCAAATTGCCATCGTGGATTCGGGAGTTTCTTGTGCTCCATCGAGCCAGCTACTAGTGAATTATCTATAAGAATCCTACGTGGACAAAACTAGTTGTGATAAAGGTTAAGATATATGTTGATAATACACATTGTATACATGGAATACTGGCTTCCTATAATTGTGTAAACACATTCAATGTCCTTTGAAAATAACCACTCGTCCACTACCCCATCATTTCCTGTATGGTCGTGAAACATGCATATACCATCTATTGAACTGATATATATAGCAGAAATATATCAACTTATATGCACATAGATAAAACTTGACATATACAACACACTTACCGCAGTAGTCTTTGTTGTAAACTTAAAATTGGGGTAAAACCAAAGAAAATGTTGTTTCTCATGTTGCTCATGTTTTGAACTAGTGTCTTCTCTGGCATCCCTTGATGGTTTATGTCGTGTTAATGTGGGTTATAAAGAATTTGATCCTCAAGATCGCCTTATCTCGAATGAATGAATTTACTATGAAGTTCTTGCAGATGCAGCTCACCGATATCATAAAATTGAATATGAGAAGCAAATAGGTTAAGAAAGGAGCTCCATGGTTTTTGATGAAAATATATTCGATGAAATGAAAATATATTCGATGTAAATATATTCGATGGTTTTCTATCATTAGTCTTTTTTCATTACTTTTTTTTATATCTATTTTCTAACATGCCATTACATAATCTGATTGTGTGCTCATTTTTTTAATTGTATCCTCACAACAAGATGGACTTTACCGAGGCTAAGAATGGACCAACTATTGAATCTTGGATGGAAATTTCTTTTACCTATTTCTCTCGGTAATCTATTATTAACAACTTCTTTCTAGGCAAAGAAAACCACATTTATGATAAGGACTTTATACAGAACGGGCGGGGAACCACTAATATTTTGGTGGTTTTGCCAGATGCCTTAATTGTTGCTGATGATTATGGTATATTCCAGTGAAAGTAATACTTCTTTATCTTTAACTACCATTGCTTATTATTTGACTATGTTTATAGTATATGTAATATACTAATTGATTCCAATTTTATGTGTACAGTTAAACTCGAAGAAAAGAAACTCAAACGCATTTCTAAGAATCCTCCAACACGAACAACATGGTCGCATGATCAATATGATGTGCATTAGATGTTAGGACATATAAAGAGTGTAGCTAAAACATCGCATTCTTTTAATGCTATCGTTGATTGAGCAAAGAAATACACTAAGACCGCAAATTGCCATCGTGGATTCGGGAGTTTCTTGTGCTCCATCGAGCCAACTACTAGTGAATTATCTATAAGAATCCTACGTGGCAAAACTAGTTGTGATAAAGGTTAAGATATATTATATATGTTGGTAATACACATTGTATACATGGAATACTTGCTTCCTATAATTGTGTAAACACATTCAATGTCCTTTGAAAATAACCACTCGTCCACTACCCCATCTTTTCCTGTATGGTCGTGAAAGATACATATACCATCTATTGAACTGATATATGTAGGCGAAATATATCAACTTATATGCACATAGGTAAAACTTGACTTATACAACACACTTACCCCTAGGGTTGGGGAAACGGGTCTTGGGCCCACGGGTAGGGGCGGGTATAGGCGGGTCGGGGCGGGTACGGGGTGGGTCCTGTTTTTAAATAGGGGAAACGGGGCGGGGCGGGCCTAGGTAATGGCATTCTAGGGTCGGGCCGGTTCCAGATTTATAGAAAAACGGGGCCCCGAACCGGCCCGTTTGTAATTGAAATGGACGGCCCAGATTGAAAATAAACATACCTTCCAATCATGACCGTTGGTTTTAGGTTTTCCCTAATAGAGTCTTTGCTCTCTCTTGATCGACCTCGACCTTTCCGTCTCTCATCCTCAATTTTCTTCTTGAAGTCCGACATCACCTCACCGTCTCTGAAGTCCGACATCACCTCTCCATCTCTGAAGTCCGACCTCACCTCGACCTCGACCTCTTCGTCTTTACTCTCTCTTGACCTCGACCTCGATCTTCTTCTTGATTGTTCTCCTCGACATCTCATCCTAGACCTAGGCACCCACACAACCCATCTTCCCGATTCTTGTTCACTCTTTCCCGACGACATCACCGCCGTCGCGATCAACAAGTTTGTGTCCTTTTCAGCTCTTTGTTTATTCACTCAACAGCGAATCAGTGTAAGGGTTTTCAACTTTTGATTTTTCTTTTGTTTTAAACTGAAAAGTTTGATTTTGATAGATTCGAAAGTATACAAAAGTTGAATCTTTATTTGGGTGAACTTTTAAACCCAGTTTCGCTTATGGATTTTCATGGGTGGTTAAATTGAATTTGGAGGTTTTTATGTGGTCTCAGATGGAAACAGTTATAGTCTTATAAAAGAGATGCAGGATATGAACAGGGTGGAATGTTTTCTATTATTATTATTTTTTTAAAATCAATTTGGGGTTTTGTTTGGTTTTGCTAATTTTGTGCTGTTGAACCCAGCGATTTGTCTACATATTGAACAAGAGACAATGAAACTGATATGTTGTTTTTTTTTTTGTTTAAAATTGAAGAGCCTTTGCCTTCCATCTGTTTTCTCTTTCTGGAATTTCCTTTCTCAGCGTTTTTCAGGCTTATGGTATATACTTTGTTTTTTTATTTTATTTTTTTGGTTCATGATTGGTTTTGCAGGTTTTGTTTGTATAGAGGAGACGGTAACTTGGCTGGTGCATCGTCTGTTTTCAGTCGAGGGTGAGGTTTAGTTTGTTACGTGGTTAATCTTAAAGTTGTCATCAGTTGTTCGGTCTTTTGGGAGCATCTTTATCTGTTCATTTGTCATGTTTTAATTGGATTAAATTTTAGGTTGTCCAAATTATAAGCTATGTTGTATTCTCATATATCAGTTTGGTTGGCTCTTATGTTTATGATGGTTCTGATATAGTAGTTCGATTAAATTTTAAGTTCTCCAAATTATAAGCTGCGTTTATTTTGATATATCAATTTGGTTGCCTCTTATGTTTATGATGGTTCTGATATAGCAATTTGATTAAATTTTAGGTGGCTAAGAAGTGTTGCACTGCTCCAAAATTCCTTTTGTTTAAACCCTCTCAGGTTTTACAAGTTCTTGCTGGTTATTTTTCCGTCTTTTTTAGCGTGCGTTTTTAATTATGTTTTTTTTGGGTTGTGTCATTTGATTTAGTTCTTTTTTATTTTCAGCAAGCGGTAATTGTCGTCCTGCACTCTAGCAACCGTAAAGAACACTGCTTTAGGTACACTTACCCTCTGATGAAAATCTCAAGTTTAAGTCTTTATTGATTTTTAAGTGAAGTGTTTTATCGGCACATAATACCATATAATTATGTTCCATGCCATGAAGGGACGGAGATGCCCCTGGTGCTGGTGAGTGCATGCATGCTGCTTGCTTACTGGTGAGTTCTTGGTTTGGATGGTTATTTTTTTTTTTGGATGGTTATTTTTTGTTTGGATGGTTATTTTTTGTTTGCTTACTGGTGGTTCAGATTCAATGGTTATTTTTTGTTTGCTTACTGGTGGTTATTTTTTGTTTGCTTACTGGATGGTTATTTTTTGTTTGCTTACATATACATCTCACACACACACACACACACACACACACACAATAAGTACTTGGCCAATATTGTAGAAAACACAGTTTCTTTAGCCTATGGAAAAGAGCATAGTTTCTTGAAACATTTTGGTAAAATGTCATGAATGGTAGATTATGCTTTTTTGGGTTTAAATTATGTATAATGTGTAGATTATGCTTACATGGAGATTATGCTATTTTATTTGATTAATGAATATAGTTCTATTATTTAATTTTTACAGATTTTTACATAATGTCTCAATCTCAAAGTCAAAGTACCCCTAGTAGTACTAATGTAGCATCATCTACGGCTACATCACCATGTCCTCCACAACCCACACATTCAAAACCATCAATGCCTCCCCCAAACCCCTCATCCTCCAAAAAAAGAAAAGCACCACCTATTCCAAAGACAAAGCAACCAACTATAATAGCTTCACTAGAGAGATCTTCTTCTGAGAGATCTTGGGTTTGGGATTATGTCACTAAGTGTACCGTCTCGGAAATACAAGAAGTAGAAAAGGATGGAAAGAAAGAGAAGGTGGAGGTACAAGTATTGAAGGCTAAGTGTAACCATTGTAACGCCCTTTTTGCATGTGATACTAGTGGGGGTGGAACTAGTACTGACATCAAACATATCAATAAACATTGCAAGTCATATAAACCAACTGATGAGTTGCAAAAGGTTATAGGTAGTTCTGGACCTTCTGGGGATGTCAAAAACATGCTTGTTGCTAAAGGGTGGAGCCAAGAAGAAAGTGTGGAAGGTATTATTGAGTTTATTGTGATGGAGGAGGTACCTTTTAGTATTGTGGAGAGTGAAGGGTTTAGGCTGATGATGTGCAAAGTCCAGCCTAGATTGCATGTTCCATCTCGGAGAACTATCGTGAGGGAGTTATTCAGTATGTATGATAGCATGAAAGAGCAGTTAAAAAAGGAGATACACAATCATAGAGTGAGCTTGACTACCGATACATGGACAAGTGTGCAAAATTTGAACTACATGGTGCTAACTGCTCATTTTGTGGATGATGATTGGAATATGCACAAAAGGATTCTAAACTTTTGTTTGATTTCAAGTCATGAAGGCAAAGAAATAGGGAAGATGATTGAGCAATGTTTGGTTGAGTGGGGGATTGAAAAGGTAATGTGCATTTCAGTTGACAATGCATCGGCTAATAAGGTGGCAATTGAGTATGTTGTTCGTAAAATGCAGAAATGGCCTAATAGTAAAGTGATTATGAATGGCAAGTTTATGCATGTGAGGTGCTTAGCTCATATTATCAACTTGGTAGTGAAACATGGGTTGAAAAGATTAGAGACAAGTGTGGATGCTCTTAGAAATGCCGTGCGGTTTGTGAGATCAAGTCCTCGAAGGTTAAGTTATTTCAAGAAATGTGTGGAGAATGAGAAGTTGGATAGTAGGGGTCTAGTTGTTATGGATGTGCCTACTAGGTGGAATAGCACATACATGATGCTAGAATCTTGCTTGAAGTTTAAAAAAGCATTTGAAAGGATGATAGAAGATGATGAAGCCAATATATACACCACCTATTTCAGTGAAAAGGTGTTTACTGATGAAGGAGAATAAGTGGCGGGTAAAGGGAGGATTGGACCACATAAGGAGGAAGATTGGGATAATGCAGAAGTGTTTGTGAAATTTTTAAAGGTCTTCTATCTTGTAACTTTGAAAGTTAGTGCAACTAAGTATCCCACATCTAACACAGCTGTTCATGATGTCATTGCTGTAGAAAACGAGATAGAAAAACTTTTTTTGCCTGAATATATGCAAACTGGAGGACCTGCAGAGTTGGTGCTACGTGATATGGCATTCAACATGAGAGCCAAATATCGAAAGTATTTTGGTTCAATTGAGTCCCTTAATCAAATATTTGTAATTGCCCTTGTCTTAGACCCAAGGTTCAAATTGAGGCACTACATGCACTTGTGTAGAAAGCAATTACAACTTCTTGATGAAGAGATTGAACAAAAAAGTAATCAAGTGAAGACATTGTTGAAGACAATGTGTGATGAATATGTTAGTCAAGCTTTCGATTCACAAACACAACAAAATGGTCGAGAAGATTTAGTTCTTGACACTTCTTCTTCAAGGGTAAAACAATCATCTTCTAGTGTGCCAACAGAAAATCCAATGATATTTAGTCAAATCATGGATGATTGGGAAAAGGAACTAGAAGACACCGAGGATATTGCGCTTGCACATGAGGTGGATAGGTATCTCCTTGACACTGTAGAGAAAGTACCACATGGTTCACAATTTGATGTTTTGAAATGGTGGAAGTTGAAAGGGAGGAGCACATATCCCACACTTGCTTTGATAGGGAAAGATGTCTTGCCAATTCAAGTGTCAACAGTTGCCAGTGAGAGTGCATTTAGTGGAGGAAAGAGAGTAATTGACCCTTGTAGATCATGTCTCCTTCCTCAAACAGTGGAGTCATTGATGTGCCTTCAAAATTGGATAAGAAGTGAACCAATTGGCAGCATTGAGTATGAAGCAAGTCCCGCGAAGCTTGAATTTTATCAAGAGTGTGAAGAAGGTAATTATCTTGTTTTTTATAGTTTGGTTTATAACTTTATATTAATTGGTTTACAATTAACGGTTGTTCTTTGTTGTAGAATATAAAAGAAAAAGAGCAAATACTATATCTACTAGTTCAACAATCTCATCAAGTGTTCCTGAAATTGAAACAACTCAAACGAATAAAGGAAAAGGAATTGCGGTAATATTTTAAACTCAAATGAATAAACTTTAAATTTCAATAATTCAATTTGAATGAGGATAGATAATATGATGTTGGACGTTAAAAATGTCATGTTTATATTCTATTTTTGTTTACAGATTCAATGAAGATTGTTGTTGGAACTTGGGCGTTGGAACTTGGATTTTCGGATATTTTGTATGTTGATTTAATTTTTAGATGTTGGAACTTGGAAGATGTAATATTATTATTTTGAATGTATTGTTAATCTATGAACTTGGATGTTGGACTTTGTATTTAGATTGGATGTGAATAATGGTGAATTTGTGCAAAATATGCGAAAATGCAGTATGTGACTTTTTGCAGTTGCAATCTGTGCAGTTTGCAATCTGTGCAAATCTGTGCAGTTTGCAATCTGTGCAGTTTTGTGCAGATTGTGCAAATCTGTGCAGTTTGCAATCTGTGCAGTTTTGTGCAGATTGCAATCTGTGCAGTTTGCAATTTGTGAATATGTACAATTTTTTTTTCTTTCAAACAACCAAAAAAAAAAAATGGACCCGTGGACCCGGCCCGAACCGGCCCGTTTCAACCGGGCCGGGTAATGTCCGGTTCTTATATTAAAAAATGTAATCCCCGGCCCGGCCCGCCCCGTTCCCTTTAAACCTAGGTCCGGTCCGGTCCCTTCAAAATTGGGCCCGGCCCGGCCCGTGCCCAGCCCTACTTACCCCAGTAGTCTTTGTTGTAAACTTAAAATTGGGGTAAAACCAAAGAAAATGTTGTTTCTCATGTTGCTCATGTTTTGAACTAGTGTTTTGTCTGGCATTCCTTGATGGTTTATGTCGTGCTGATGTGGGTTATGAAGAATTTGATCCTCAAGATCGCCTTATCTCGAATGAGTGAATTTACTATGAAGTTCTTGCAGATGCAGTTCACCGATATCATAAAATTGAATATGAGAAGCAAATAGGTTAAGAAATGAGCTCCATGGTTTTTGATGAAAATATATTTGATGAAATGAAAATATATTCGATGAAAATATATTCGATGGTTTTCTATCATTAGTCTTTTTTCATTACTTTTTTTTATATCTATTTTCTAACATGCCATTACATAATCTGATTGTGTGCTCATTTTTTTAATTGTATCCTCACAACAAGATGGACTTTACCGAGGCTAGGAATAGACCAACTATTGAATCTTGGATAGAAATTTCTTTTACCTATTTCTCTCGGTAATCTATTATTAACAACTTCTTTCCAGGCAAAGAAAACCACATTTATGATAAGGACTTTATACAGAACGGGCGGGGAACCACTAATATTTTGGTGGTTTTGCCATTTGCCTTAATTGTTGCTGAAGATTATGGTATATTCCAGTGAAAGTAATACTTCTTTATCTTTAACTACCATTGCTTATTATTTGACTATGTTTATATTATATGTAATATACTAATTGATTCCAATTTTATGTATACAGTTAAACTCGAAGAAAAGAAACTCAAACGCATTTCTAAGAATCCTCCAACACGAACAACATGGTCGCATGGTCAATATGATGTGCAATAGATGTTAGGACATATAAAGAGTGTAGCTAAAACATCGTATTCTTTTAATGCTATCGTTGATTGAGCAAAGAAATGCACTAAGACCACAAATTGCCATCGTGGATTCGGGAGTTTCTTGTGCTCCATCGAGGCTACTAGTGAATTATCTATAGGAATCCTACGTGGACAAAACTAGTTGTGATAAAGGTTAAAATTTATGTTCATAATACACATTGTATACATGGAATACTTGCTTCCTATAATTGTGTAAACACATTCAATGTGCTTTGAAAATAACCACTCGTCCACTACCCCATCATTTCATGTATGGTCGCGAAACATACATATACCATCTATTGAACTGATATATATAGCAGAAATATATCAATTTATATGCACATAGATAAAACTTCACATATACAACACACTTACCCCAGTAGTCTTTGTTGTAAACTTAAAATTGGGGTAAAACCAAAGAAAATGTTGTTTCTCATGTTGCTCATGTTTTGAACTAGTGTCTTGTCTGGCATCCCTTGATGGTTTATGTCTTGTTAATGTGGGTTATGAAGAATTTGATCGCCTTATCTCGAATGAGTGAATTTACTATGAAGTTCTTGCAGATGCAGCTCACCGATATTATAAAATTGAATATGAGAACCAAATAGGTTAAGAAATGAGCTCCATGGTTTTTGATGAAAATATATTCAATGAAATGAAAATATATTCGATGGTTTTCTATCATTAGTCTTTTTTCATTACTTTTTTTTATATCTATTTTCTAACATGCCATTACATAATCTGATTGTGTACTCATTTTTTTAATTGTATCCTCACAACAAGATGGACTTTATCGAGGCTAAGAATAGACCAACTATTGAATCTTGGATAGAAATTTCTTTTACCTATTTCTCTCGGTAATCTATTATTAACAACTTCTTTCCAGGCAAAGAAAACCACATTTATGATAAGGACTTTATACAGAACGGGCGGGGAACCACTAATATTTTGGTGGTTTTGCCAGATGCCTTAATTGTTGCTGAAGATTATGGTATATTCCAGTGAAAGTAATAATTCTTTATCTTTAACTACCATTGCTTATTATTTGACTATGTTTATAGTATATATAATATACTAATTGGTTCCAATTTTATGTATATAGTTAAACTCGAAAAAAAGAAACCCAAACGCATTTCTAAGAATTCTCCAACACGAACAACATGGTCGCATGATCAATATGATGTGCATTAGATTTTAGGACATATAAAGAGTGTAGCTACAACATCGCATTCTTTTAATGCTATCGTTGATTGAGCAAAGAAATACACTAAGACCACAAATTGCCATCGTGGATTCGGGAGTTTCTTGTGCTTCATTAAGCCAGCTACTAGTGAATTATCTATAAGAATCCTACGTAGACAAAACTAATTGTGATAAAGGTTAAGATATATGTTGATAATACACATTGTATACATGGAATACTTGCTTCCTATAATTGTGTAAACACATTCAATATGCTTTGAAAATAACTACTCGTCCACTACCCCATCATTTCCTGGATGTGATACAACAGGTTAGCAACCAATTCACCTAGATAGATGAGAGTTTGGCTGCCATTGTTATCTATAAATAAAAAGATTCTCTGCTTGTACTAAGTATCAATTCTTCGACTAGGGATCTATCACCTAAAGAATATAAAGGAATTAAGTGAGGAGAAGAATTTACTGCACCATTATCGATGTATTCTTTAGGTAATGCTCTTCAACTCTTAGAAATGTGTTTGACTCAAGAGAGTGAAATATTGATCATGTGACCATGTTGTTCGTGTTGGAGGATTCTTAGAAATGCGTTTGACTTTCTTTTCTTCAAGTCTAACTGTATAGATAAAATTGGAACCAATTAATATATTACATATACCATAAATATAGTCAAATAATAATCCATGGTAGTTAAAGATAAAGAAGTATTACTTTCACTGGAATATACCATAATCTCCAGCAACAATTAAGGCATCTGGCAAAACCACCAAAATAGCAGTGGTTCCCCGCCCGTTCTGCATAAAGTCCTTACCATAAATGTAGTTTTCTTTGCCTGGTACAATAATACAATTAAAAAAGATGAGCACACAATCAGATTATGTAATGGCATGTTAGAAAATAGATATAAAAAAAAAGTAATGAAAAAAGACTAATGACAGAAAACCATCGAATATATTTTCTTCAAAAACCATGGAGCTCCTTTCTTAACCTATTTGCTTCTCATATTCAATTTTACGATATCGGTGAGCTGCATCTACAAAAACTTCATAGTGAATTCACTCATTCGAGATAAGGCGATGTTGAGGATCAAATTCTTCATAACCCACATTAACACGACATAAACCATCAAGGGGTGCCATACAAGACACTAGTTCAAAATAATAAATACAAAAACACTATGCATCAAGTATTACCCTCCTTAAGAATCAATTAGCAACCAGTTCAATACACATCACCCTGCTTCCTCTTTCATGCTCCTGCACAACCGCAATGCTATTAGTAATTAATTATTTGAATGCATATTAATAAGTAAAAGTGTGTAAGTACGCTTTTCTCTGGATCACTACATTTGCATTACAATATGTAATATTCAAGTCTAGAACTAATAGAATTACTTAAAGTAATCATATTTCTACAAATTAAACATCAAATCCAATGCAGGGAACGCCCAACATTTTGAGCTTACCTAAAAAAGAGTTTGAAACAATTTCACATCCTTTAATGTCTAATTAGGTACCAATTTAAAAGGAAAAGAAAAGTGACCATGTACATTATGATTAATCAATCTTGTTCTCATAGTTCATCATATCCTGCAATCTAAGTGTATATTATAAATAGACTAGGAATACAAGCATTCATGGCTTGGCGTAGAAGATATGTTTTATTTAAGGCAACAAGTGGTTGGGATGCATTCAAAGCCAACCCGCATGCTTAAGCTAGATAGAAAGTTTTGAGGGCTAGAAAGTACCAGATGTATTAATCAATACTAAAAATTTTCCGAAACTTTTCTTTTCTAATATGTAATGCAATACCTACAACCCCACCATTTACTTCCTGAGGCATGGCCCTCATAAGTGAAATTTCTTCAACCATTAAACAAATATTCTGATTTCCAGTTTGTCACACAAACCTGGAATTTTCCAAAACTTTGAAAGGTTTTACTTGAAATGATGATTCTTATTTAATTCGTAGTACCATGTTTTCTTCCTTTTTCTTTCTGTCTAATCCTAGTTTCCTATATGTTTTGTCCATCCGAATTCCATCTATATTATTGAGAGAGAGGCAATTCAGGTAAAAAAAAATTGGCATCCGTTATTCCTATGAGTGAACATGACTTTGCAAAGATATCATTAAGTCATCTCATAGTCTCATGTTTGTCTGCTAACATACACGCACACATTTATATGTGGGTGCAGAAACTAAACAATTGATTTTCAACCTACAGCACAAATGAGAGCTTAAGAGATTTAAATTGAAAAGGAAAATATAAAATGAAGAAAAAGTTTCAAAAGATTAGTAATAGCAGTAAACACATACTGAACATAGTAATTTGAATTCTTTAGCTTGATAATGAAAGACAAAACACTATGTTAGAGGACCCTGAAAAACACAAACAAATACCGTTAGTACATGGAAGTGCAACTTCCGGTTAGTCAGTGTTAAAGGCATATTTCTTTGAGGGAAAAGTGATGGGATCTGATGATGAAAATTGATGATTGAGTAGGTAGAGGGAGAGACATGAAGTAATGGGAGAGAAAGGAGAGTGTATTAAAAGTGAACAAAAAAAAAGTGGGTTTTAACCCCAAATAAAACATTATTTAATAGTCCACATGCATGCCTTCAATTTCCATTAGGTTCCATGCAGTGCAACACTCTGCACAGAAATAGTTTATTTTAAAACAAGACCAAGGCAATGGAGGGCACTGCACAAGGTCCTCCTTTTAGTCCTATTAGCCAACAGTTAAATCTTTCATAGTTTTAAGCATAACTTGTCTGTTAAAACTTCGAATTGAGTTCCGTCTGTGGCCACGTGTTCGCAAAAATGAGTACTATTTAGAAGTAGTAAAATAAGAGTGGAAAAGTGAAAGGAAAATTAAAGTTCATGTGGAAGGCCTTCATGGCATTTCAGGGATATTTTGATAATTTCACTACTACTAAGAATAAAATATAATAAATTTCGAGATGAAATGTCACACAAATAGACTAAAAAAAGGAATTCAATCAAACAGAAAAAAGAATCAAACAGCCTAAAAAAAAGGGAGAGTGCAGCATTGATGAATCGTGCAGTAGTAGTAGGAGAGTTGATTTAGATCGTCTTGGTGAAGACAGTGACCGTGAAAGATAAGGGGAAAGAAGGAGGGACAATTGTAGTACAAATACATGGTAAAAATAACATTAATGATAAGAATAACATCAATGACGAAGGAGTTAATAACTAAAAAAGGAAAGGAAAAAAATCGAATGGTGAAGAGGAAACATTCATACATTCTCAATGTCTCATGCAGAAATAGGAAAGGCAGTGTATTCTGGGTCCACATTCACTTGAGGGGTTGGGGCTTCCTGCTGCCTAGCTCAGAGGGGCGTTTCTAAGGTGCGGACCAAAATCGAACGGAGGAGATGTGCCGAGTGTAGGGGTGTAACTAGGTGTTCCAGTGTTTCTCAATACCCGTAAAATTTGCAAGTAAAAGTTGAGAAATTTTTTGGAAAAGCCTGAGGAAGGGGAATGGAGCTGGCACTGCATCAGGGGAAGAGGAAGGGAGTTGGCGCATCAGGGGAAGGGACGAGGTCGGTGATGCTGCTAAGGTTGGATGAGGACGACGAGGACAACGACGCTGCTGAGCTTGGACGAGGATGACGACGCTCTTTGCCTCATCTTGGAAGATGACGGCGCCGGCGACAAGGCCAAGCACTAGACGTTGCTCTCTCCCACCCACAGCTCAAAATTGGAGCCTGCTAAATATGAAGCTCTTCTCAGGTCACTTCCGGTTTTTAGTCTGAGGATCGGTTCTGGAAGATTAGTTCTGGAATCGATAATATCCCAGTAAATTCTATTTTCTTTTTTCGATTATCGTAGATTAAGCTACTTTACAATTTTGGGGTTTAGTGTTTAGGTTCACACAAACCCTAAAACAGAAACCAAACGCAGGGGTTAGAGAAATTTTTCATTATGATCAGAACACGGGTGGAACACCACATGTTTTTATATAAGTGGTGGGAAATTGTATTTTTTAAGTTATTAACTTTTTAACATACATATCTCACCATTTGTATAGTAACACGTAGACTTGAATTCTAAAATCAGAAAGTAATTAATGAATGTTTATCATCTTACGTGTGCTTTGATTTACTTTGTCATTTGTTGTCATTTGACCCAATCTCTTCTACAATCCCAACTTAATGATAAAATGCTATACAACTAATACCTAGCTAGTATATAGAGAAAAACAAATCAGTTGAATGCCATAAAAAGGCCACTTAAATCTGTGGAAACGAATTCACTAAAACAGTGAACAGTAGAAAGAAAATAACAATAAAACAACTAAGATATGAACTAAGCTTTGGTATTTGAAAACTATTTGGGACTGGCCTAAAACATCCAAAACTCTTTTCTTCTCTTCATCGTCAGCCTCCCTTAAAGCTTTGAATATTTGATCTGCACTGATTGTCACCTCTTTCTCAGCAAACCTCTGAGCTACTTCGTGACGATGATCAGCTGTCAAAATTGCTGCTTTAGAATGTGCTTTTTCTTTCTCCATAGCTTCCCTAGTTGTTTCTAAGGCATATCGTGCCTCTTCTAGTTTTTTCCCTTCTTTCAATTTCCACTCTTGTAGCTCAATTGTCTGTATTGGATATGAGAAAGATGAGAAGACTACACTCAGGATAGCTATTGAGACACTAAATTCAAATAATAAAATAGATGAAAGTATGCCGCACTACGATATAATATACTCAAAGTTTTCAACCAAAAAAAAAACTCGAAGTTTAGGTGATAATTGTACGCCAGGATGCATGGATCAAATAACAAAATAGATGTAAATTTTAATGTCATATACTTATTCTCTCTCATCGTGTTGTTTGACTGTGAATCTGAAAATTTTGATCAGGTTGAGTGTTACCTATATATTATAGGAATGTGTAGTCTAAATATTCTACAGTATCCGTCTTCAAGAATGCTTAAACATGTTACTACGACATTGCTAATCAAATCTGGAGCTCAGGCATATATATGCAAGTGGTCCTACCTTTATGAAAGAAATGGAAGAGCAAACAAATTCAATGAAGTACATGCATACCTAAAAACTTTACATGGTAAGAGAAAAAGCTATTAGCTAAAAATGCTATCTCTAAGTAGCTAGGAAGATTTAAGAGGGTTCAAATTAAGCCAACCTTCTGTTTTGCTGCCACTGCTTCTTTGCAGGCTGCGTGGTACATGTCCATTGTTTGCTGCAGCTCCACTCTAAGCCTTTTCATCTCCTCTTCCATGTCATCCTGCAAGCACCAAAGATTTCGAATCAAAATGAACTTCTTTCGTGTTTAGTTGGTAATTAACTTTTACTTGTATCCTTTTCAAACAACTTACCAATTCTTTCTGCGACAAGAGGGGTGTTCCTCCACAACGTTGTACAGTTGATGACGGTTCATGCGGAGTGTAAAAATCAAAACTGTCAAAATCTTCGTCTAGTTTTGCAATACTTTCCATGTTTGATGATGATTCTAATGGATATCGGGTTAGTCCAGCTGGCCCAAAACTTTGGTAGAAAGATAAAATGCTATCAGTACTTGGTCTTTCTGAGCTTACAAACGAAACATCATTCTCAGCCACTGAGACCTCATCATATGCTCTGTAGATCGGACCTCTACCTCTAGACAAGCATATCAACCAAATCAGTTAGTTAACAAATGAGTCAAATAAGTAACAGATTCATATGCCAGTTCAGGTGCAGACGTCAGCTCTAACATTTAAGCTCGCACTCAAAATATAATTGTACGTTATTAGACTGTGAATCTGGAAAATAGATTAGGTTGTTTGTTTCTTAATGTAATGTTTGGTAGAAATTGAAAGTTTGGCAAAACGATCCAATTTATTGAATACATAAATGCTTACATGTGATCGGACTGGTGATTCACTGCCCTCTCCTCAACATGAATATTTGGAAGTGGACGAGATGCTTCACGCATTTCGCCCACCCTTCCTTGTTTGATGGTGTATACTGAGCAGAAATGTGGTGCCAACTTCAGGACTCTGCCTGGAATAGATTCAGATGCCTTGAATAGACGCCTACTTGAACAACATGTTTTGATAATCGTATGAGTTTGGACAACAAAAACGCACATACACGCACAATCTTACATGTGTATTGCATACCTAGTTAACCCACCAGTCCTGGATGTAGCACCAACAACGATATTCTCAATGCCATGGCGGAAAATGTACTCAGCTAATGCCTCAGCTACATCTTGATCCTCCAGTAGAACAGCCTCGCATTGTACCTGATAATATTAATTCCACAAATCAACTACATCTACTTACAATTTGTCATAACTAAAAATATTTAGTCATCAGCTACTAGCTTCTTAATTTTATAGTGTATATATGTAAGTATATACGTTGATCATCAGATTAAAAAATGAATAAGGGGTAAGGTTTATGTCGTGTAATCATTTATAACCACAGAGGTTTCTTAAAAAGAAAAAGTTAAGAACTAAATGAACCCTACTCGTTTGCGCGTACAGTAGCAACGAAATGGAAGTAAGAAATCTGTATTTGGAGCATCGTGAGCTTGCCCTTCATTTGATGGGTTGTTCTCTATAAGTGCCACCAAAAATCAAACGAAATGTGTTAATTACTCACGCAAGAGTACTGCTACTTGTGCCATCCCAACACGCAGAAAACTTCTGTGTGTTCACATGGATGAGTCCCGCCTTTATTAGAAATGTGATAATTAACACAACATTGATTGATGAACAAAACTAATTATCGGGCAACATATGGCATGTATATATGAAAGATATAGAGAGAAGGAGTTACCAGTTGCATGAAGTGTATTATTGGAATTAGATGGGTGAATAACATGGACAAGCTTGATAGGAGCATGGCTGGTAGACCGAGAGACGAGATGATCAATTGCCCATTTCAAAGCATTTTGGCTGGAGACGCCGTTGTCGATTGCCACTGCTATTATCCCCGCGCCTTGATTATTATTTCCATTATCAACGTTGTTATACCACATTATTCTCTTTCGCCCTTCCTCTTTCTCAACTCTCAGATTGAACAACTTCTTGCTCAGACATGAATATGGCAAGTTCTTGCTCAAACATGAATATGGGAACATAAGTAAATTTCGAGAAAAAGAAAAATTTAAAGATAACAAAGAAATGCATTTCTCCTTCCTTCTGTACTCTTAAACTTCCCAAATGCTTAAGGGCCATAGAACTTAACTATTCAAAACTACTTAAAGTTAATTAAAACAAACATTAACTCGGTTATCAGAGCTAATTAACCCCCATATCTACAGCATCATTTTAGAAAGTTGCCCCTAGATTAGATATAGAGACGATTGATGCTGATGCATGCCAAAACGCGCATATCGGTTAGAATTTCTAATATTAACCAAGTCTCCCAACAAAGTTTTTGAAATTACACATGTACGTACCATTAGATGAGAGATAACTCTGTTACAATGAAGAACTTGAAGAACGATAAATAAGAAAAAAAAAAAGGGCAGTTAAGAAGTTTCAGTTTTTGGTCTTGTATTGATCTCTGAGAGGATTTCGCTTAATATTTATACAAGAGATAAATATACTACAGGTAACAAAAGATAAATGATCGATGAAGCCTAAGCCCTAGACTTGGTTCTTTCTTACCCTTGCTTGTCGGGCATATCGTTACAATATGAACATCTGCAGTTAGAATACGACAACTGTAATTGTTCAATCACTGTTAAAAGAAAATTCATTTGTATGTCAGGTAGTGGCGAGAGAGATGCAACCGGGTGCATACCCATTTATTTGTGTCTCTTCTCACCAATCTCGCGACACATCACATGAGAAGAGAGACACACATATACATGGGAGGACGTACATGCACTTAATTGTTTTAGCTAGCCCTTGGTGACACTTGTAGGTTGTGGCCATGCTGCACATCCCCAGTTTCTCCTATTTCTTAGGATCGATCATAGGACTTTTTTGGCAGTAAATTTTTCTCTATAATTAGTAAGAGAAAGAAAATACCTCTTAAGTTTTTGAGTTAATATTGACAGAATTCATTTATTTATAGTTACTGAACTATTGGGAAATTCTTCCTTTTTCTTTTAATTTTTTCTATTTGGTGTAGCTGGGAAGAGGGACGTTAGTGATCTTTTTTTCTCTGACTGGTTCTTTAATAATTTTTTTCCTCCTTCGATGATTTTGAAAAGACAAATATTGCCAAGTGACATATACTGAGTAAGTAGGTGCAAGGGCGGTCCAGATGATAGCTGAAGTAGGCGTCCGTTTTCGGTCCTCACTTCGGAAGGGTCCTCAATTTATTTTTTTTTCAAGAAAATATGTGTGTGTGTGTTTACAATTCAAATTCAAAAAAAAAAAAAAAAAAATCCAAAAAATGTAATCATAGGCAATTGAAAAAAAAAAAAAAACTGGTTGAAAAATTAGATTATGTAGACTTAATTAACACATTTGTGCACTTAATACTACAGTTTAATGTGAGAGGTCTTATGTTCGATTCTCGCCAAATGTGAATTTGAACCATATTATTGTTAGCCGATTGTGAGACTCAGCCCATCCTCCTCCCCCATAGTGTAGATAATATCGTCGTGTAACATTTAAATAATGTTTGTATACCTTTCTTCTTTTAATATTAATTTTTAATGATATGTGATATAGTAATAGACTTTTTCATGTATTTAGCGGATTTTTTTATATATATCAATGTACAAAGGGTCGAGGGACTAAGAATTATAGGGTCTCACTTCAAGGGCTTGCCTAGTACAAAGAGTCGAGAGACAGAGAACTCTAGGGCTTACTTCAAATTTGAAACATGTGCAAATCCTATTCCATTTAGAAGTGGCGCGATCAAATGAACTTTTATAAACACTTTGGCTATGATATTGTAATTAAGGATTATTAGATGAATAAATGGTTTTACTCAGAATGAATTATGGAATATTGAAGTACTTTGTTTAAACCTAGCTTGCTTATAAAGCCAAATCTTATAGAAAAACAGTTCATTGTTGTATCTCATCCTATGAGGGAATTGGGAAGGACGTGACAGATACAAATTAAGAGTTTTCTTGTCATCGCTGAATCAATGAACCATTGATCATGTCATGCAGAAAGAGAGAATCGTTTCATCAGCCAACGATCTTCGTCATGTCGCCTTCACTAGCACACGTAGAGAAAAAATCTGAATCTCCAGGGTTGTCCCTCTCCTTCAACTCTTCAATCCTCTCCACAACCTCTTTCAGATCTAGTCTCTTCTCCACTTCCCCTTCACAACATTCCAACCCAATCTTCAAGAGCTTCAGCATCTCTCCCTCACTACTCTTGCCTGCCCCCATTCCCGTATCAAACACCTGACTAAACCACTCCTCCCGAGGCACCGAGTTCACCCAACTTGCCAAATCCTCCTCACTTCCCTTACCTTGCTGCAAAAAGTTGGTGGGTAACTTCCCCGTTAAGATCTCCAAGATCAACACTCCGAAGCTCCACACGTCGGTCTTCTTTGTCACGCGCTTGCTTTGCATGTACTCTGGGGACTTGTAGGCCACCATGAGGGTGTGAGCATGTTCTTGGTTTACCACAGGGATTAGGCCGTAGTCAGTGATAAGGGGCTCGTAGGACTCGTTGAGAAGAACGTTTGAGGATTTGAGGTGGCCATGGGGTGCTACTAGGCTGGGAAGCTCACTGTAGAGATAGCGTAAGCCATGGGCTACTCCTTCGACAATCTTCAAACGGGTCGGCCAGTCAAGGCTTGGATGGTCGAGGGTTTGGTTTCCTGATCATGAAAGTGCAGATAACACCAATTAATTAATTAGCCATTCATTGAATCTCTTCCTCGATCTAAAGGGGATACCGGGGAAGAGAAAAGGTTTGATATATATACAACTAAAACACAAAGTAAAATTGTCTATAATGACAATAAACTTTAATTTTGCAAACTCATATGTAAAAGCAATGCTACATGGACGACTATACGAATGTGCGGCATGTCTCTATTAGAGATGTGGTATACAAATAGTTTTTATCACTTAAAGGTAGGATCTCGTCAATTAGTAGAACTAGATAATATGGTCATTCATGTTTAGGTAAAATGCAAATATACATATGTGTGTGTGTGTGTGGATAGGCCCTTTATTTAAAGGGATCTCCATTTTTGGTAAAAAATGGAGACTAGTTGTGCGCGGCTCACACCACATTGAATTTCAATAATCCAAACCGCTTATTTTTCAAGTTGCACTTCATATATAGATCATCCTTGCAAAATATTAAGCAAGTTAAAAATATTTGATGCATCTAATTGAGTTCAAAGAAATTGACAAACACTACGTTCTAAGAAACTGAAATTTCATCATGACAATCAAATGAGTTAAGGGTTTCAAATAGAATTGAATTTTTGCAAGAATGATTTATGAATGAAGACTTAAAAAATAGACGGTCCGGATAGTTGAAGTTCGATGTATAATTGACCCTACAACTAATCCCCATTTTTATCAAAAAAAAAATGAAAATCCCTTTGGATAAAGGCTTTGTATACATGTATATGTTTAAGGGAAAAGGAACTTACCATGAAGATGAGCAGCCAAGCTGCCGTTTAGAACATGGTCAGAAATCAAGAGCTTCTCTTCCTTCTTATAATAATAAGCAACAAGTGGAAGCAAATTAGGATGTCCCAATCTCCCAATCCTTCTCATGTGCTCTATGAACTCCTCTCTTCCTACATTATTCATCTGCTTATACCTCTTCACAACCATCGCTGGTCCGGTCAACAAAGCAGCCTTGTAAGATGACCCAAAGCAACCGCTGCCTAACACCTCCGCCGAGGCTCTCAGCAAGTCTTGCATATCAAACCTCTCCCTGTCGTCTCTCACAAATGAAAGCTTTAAGCTCTGTTCACCCTTCTTTCCATTCCCTCCTTTAATCGAGTTTTCAGGTGAGCCTGGGGCACTTGCTTGGTGCTCTGGTTCTTTTTGAACTGATCTGTTTTGGACAGTTGCTGTTGATGGTGGTGGAGCCTCTACCGATGATTCAGATAATTTTTTGCGGCGTCCAAGGAGGAAGACCAGTAAAGCAACTATGGCAATGATTGCTACTATGACAGCGATCACAATCAGCACGATTATCCAGGTTGCGGGCTTCTTCGAGGGGGTACTGCATGCTTTTAATGGCCCTCCACATAGTTCTTCATTCCCTGCGTGTCCAGGTGGAAAACTTTTAATTGCCTACATCTTTTAAGAACAATACTTTTATTTCTCTAACTGTACTCTGTGCTTTTGATTTGCTTGAAAGAAGACACTTACCACCTAATAAATTAACTTACATGTTTGAACCTATTTAAGCTGGGAGGAAATTTTTCTGTGGAGATTCTTGAGGATTATGCTTGATGCTTCTTTATACCACGCATTCATAACTTAACCTACGTACGCATTACAAAAATTCGACTCTTGCTCTTTTCCTCCTTTGAAGAAGAAAGAACAGTACCATCTTCTTTTTATTTGGTTCTTGAATTTAAAAGAATTGCTTGAAAGATTTGTTTATAAAAATATATGGCTGACTGAATATGTAAGACTTTAAGCTTTAATCGATTTTTGGTCTTCTCTATGGTTTCTCAACTATGCTTGTCAAAGTTTCTCACAAGAAAAATCCTAATTGGAAGGTATATATTGTAATATATTAATAACAACTTAAATTCAGATTCTTAAACATGATTATTCTTCCCGGGATAATGAGAGAGAGAGAGAGAGAGAGAGAGAAGTTGAGGCTCACCTGCAAAGGAGCTTGCATCCAATTTTCTTAGGCTTTTCGGGATCTCACCCTCCAGTTTGTTGTTGGAGACGTTAAAAATTGTCAACCTGGGCTGCCTAAAATCTGGTATCTTGCCTTCGAATTTGTTCCCTTCAATACTCAGCTCCACCAGCTTATCCAACCCTGCCAACGACTTTGGAATCTCTCCCGTAAACTGATTATTCGCCATGTGGAGCTTCTTCAACGATGACATTCCTGTGAACCAATCTGA